CCCCAGACACTCTTTCAGAGAAAAAAAAAATCCTTAGAAAGAAGAGCCCTTAGCAGCGTGGACACCAGCTGGTGCCATTTGGCTTCACAACAGCTTGTTGGGCTGCTTTTATTTGCGCCCAATTCTTATTTGGCACAGTGAGGTCATCCCACACAGGCAGAGGCTGCACCCAAGCACCACCACCCTGCTGGGGCCTTGGCCACTGCCACATGTGGATGCATCTGTGGACAACGACTGAGACCAACCACTGTAAGAAATTTCATGTTTCAGGAAACATTTCTCCCTATGTATATCTGGAGAAGGGCCACAAAGTGTTTGCCTCGTGCTACAGGGCCATGACAATAATAATGGCCAAGCGCTGCCATCAGATATGCATCTTCAAATACACTGGAGTGATATATATTTCTGTGGACAGAGCAGATCAGCCGATGACAGGAGGATTTGCGAGACGTAGGACACGATAGGAGGATTTAGGCATCCTTAGCTTAGTCAGCACTTCCCTCTTGAGAACAATGAGCCGGATCTGGGATAAAATCCATGCACGGCATAAAGATTTTAACTCTGGGTGCATTTTGCTGTAAATACCAAAGCAGGTTTCAGGGAAAACACATTTTTTCTCCTTATATGGTCTAGCCGTAAGTCCCAGTGAATACATTACTTGGGTGCTTATTCTGCTCCCATGTAAGAGAAGCAACGGGACTTAGGCTGTTGCAAACTTTTCAAAAGTCACTGAAAACTGAACAAACGTGCTCAAGTACGCAATGAAATGTTCCTGAAGAAAATCCCCAGTCTCTGTACTCTCAGGATTTAAAAACCCTCCTTTCATAAAGTCACAGTGTGCGCTGTAGTCGGGAGGTGGCTTCCAGCGGCGGCGCGGCGCGGCTGGGAGCGAAGGCGGAGCGCGCGGGAGCCGCCGCGCTGCCTCCTGCCACCACCGCTGCATCGCCCAGAGCAGGGCAGAACCCACAACACGCCTTCTTCACTCCTCCCGTCCCCCTCAGCATACGTTATTATTGTATTTAATACGACCGACGCAATGCCCCTTGTCCTGTTATGCAAAGTCTTTGAAATAAAATGCAGTAGAATTAAAGAAAATAAGAGGCTAAAATAAGAGGTTGAGTTTTCACTCAGGTAAAATCCTACATTCTTGTCAATGTGAGAAATAAGTGGGGAAGAAGCTGTTTATTAGGATATGGGAACTGAACACCACTCAGATCATGGCTTTCACTAAAGAGGCAGAAGATTGAGGTTCACAGGGCTGTGAAGGAGCTCTGCCTTCTCATATCCATGATTCCCTGAACTTAAAACAGTATTGCTTCCTTGTCTGAGAGCAGAATTTGACCCCTAGCCCTATTTTTAAAGTGCTGTCCTACTTCGCAAAAATTTTTGTTTGAAGAAAGCATTTTCTTATTTAATAAAAGTGTCCCCATATGTTCATCATACCTGCTGATCATCAGTGCAAGGGCACTGGGAAGGCATTAGATACGTCCTTCCTCTCCCTGGCCGCTCACAGGCTGCGCTCTCCTGGATGGCTACAGGCACTTCTCTAAACACACTTGGAAGAAGGAAAATTCCTGGCCTACCCATAGCACCAGGATGACAGTTCAGAGACAGCTTGAGGCCAGGTAAGCAAAACTGAATGTTGCTGCACTCAGGTCAAATGGCCGTTTAAAATTCATCCTCCTATGGGCAAGTCAGAGCAAAGCTCCAAGAAAAAGAAGACAGACAGACCTCTAAAACGAGGGCTCACTGCTCTTGACACTCTTTACTTTTGCCTTTGTTGAAAAATAAAAACAAAAATCATTTATCCCTCAAATGAAGATTATCCCTTCTTCAGCAGCACCAAGCAATAAGGCCATCATAATTTATTACATCTGACATACTGTCTCCATAGGCAAAGCATACTTTGTCCATATGCAGCACCGGGCTTATTTTTGTTGAAAGTCAACACCTCAAAAGATGCAGTGACATTTTAGAGAAGTCCTCTTCTTAATTTCTCTTCATCATATCCCTGACACATTTCCATAAATGTGGTCATGGTCTAGATAGTAGGCTGTGCCCATATAGGAATATAGGGGCCAATGTAACATAGGCCTCATTTAATACTTTAAATGTATTTTTTATTTTTATTAAATATAATAAATATTTAAATAATCACAAGACTGAAATCAAAGGAGCATGAGTATTAGCACGGGCTATAATATTCTGGATGCTATACAGGATCATTTTAGAGAGGTTTCTTCACCTCTGCTACACTAGGCAGATTACAGCACATCCATTTTGCTGTGCCAGAATAAAACTGGTAACAAGAAGAAAGAACAGAACTGCTACCTCTGCAATCAACACAGCCACACATCAGATTCCTGAACAATGTTATTTTTTACACCTCAAGAATCTTAGCAAATAAATCCCAATGGTGTACATGTATAAGTCAGGAAATGGGCAGAAAGGAATACAAATTCAGTCTCTTCTTACCATTGTACACTTCTTCAAATGCATGTATTATATACCAGCAGGGATACAGAGCCAAAGAAGTCTTACGTCATGACACTTCTCCAAGGTTATATTGGAAATCAGTGGTGGATACTTTAGATGTTTCCTTTAAATAAAGCCACTGTAATTTTCCCCATAGGCATCTGCATGTGTAATGGCAGAAGTTGGGTTTGAATATCACTTCCCCCAGCATTAAAAAAAAAAAAAAATGGGAACAGAAATCTAAGCCAAAGGGAAATAGGTCCCTGATACTGACGCCTTTAGAAGTCTCCTACCCACCTATCAAATTCTGGGGTGACTAAGGGGAAGGGCATCCAAAATGCCAAAGCTCTGCTGCTTTTCTGTAAACAACCCAAAGTTCATATGCAGTTCATGTCTTTTTATAACACATATTTAGACAGTCATGGTTTTGGCCATTTTCTGTATTCCGACTGCTGGGCATATTTCTGCACTACGGCACCTGCTGTCTTCTAGTGTTCATTCTGAAGCACTGGTGACATGTGTCAGCAGACACTTACTCTCTCTAACTGGGGCTGCAGGCAAGGCTATTTTTAGTTGAAAGAAATATCACTGATCCTGGAGAAGATGATCTCCCTAGTAGCACTGGATTTTTTCTGTAACATTGGAGAAAATATTTGTAAAAGTAAATTGTCAGGGCATTCAGAGATGATGCTAAATAGGACACAAATATTTGTATTTCTCTAGTTGCATTGAAAGGAAAAATGCATACCCTAACTGACATAAAAAATCATCTGAGTTACTTCCAATTTATGCAAGTGAAAAGGCATCAAAATCAGATGTATATAGCCAAGAAGATCTGTTCTTTCTGGAAAAACATGGAATGAATGCTGTGAGGACATAAGAAACAAAATTCATCTTTCAAAGTAACGCAAAATTAAGGCAACCTAAGGTTTTTAATTTTTTTTTCTTTTGAAGACTGCAAAATTAATCCTAATATTCTGCCCAAATTTAGATTTGCATTAATTCCATTCCACAGAACAAGATTCCTACATCCAATACAAATAGATGTTGCTTACCACTAAAAGGTTGTGCAGTATTTTTGTGTTCTCTTGCATAATCTTTCGAACACTTAGACCTCCCTATCATGTATGAGTTGCCCCATTTACTTCAATAGGCCTACCAAGAGCAATAAATATTGCACTCTATAGTTTTGTAAGACTGCATACTTGTGTCATTCCTATACTGTGCTCCTGAGGAATTGCACATCCTTTGTACATTAAATGACTTGAGATGAGGTACACGGGTAAGCCGTAATGATGATCTTTGAGATGAAATGTACTACCTAAAAGTTGGTTACCATGATGTGGAAAGCTTCTTTAACATGTGAGCTTTACTCTATAAGCACTCTTACAAATACTAACACTACTTCAGTTAATTAGATCTTACTCTTTACTGTCAAAGGACCTTTCCTTAATTTGAAAAGAAACTATCTATCTCCTCTCATTGTGGGTTTGAGATCAATTATTTCTTTAATCTCTTATTATTATATTATGCATATTAATACATAGGTAGAGTGGCCTCTCAAGTAATTTATGAACTTTGTTATATCTCCTGTGTTTATATTACTGAGGCCTGGATCATTTGAGCAGCTCCACACAAGAAAAAGCAATGGTAGAGGTAGCTGCCTCTTCACAAGTGCCTTGCTTTTGTTCAGCCCGTGACAATTTGGCTGAACAGGTTACTTGGTTAAATTTTCTGTGTTTCTCTGACTAGGCTTGTATGCTATCAGAACAAACATGGACAACTAGAGAAGAGATCACTAACTGGGGAGTTGAAAATCACTGAAAAGCAAACTGGCAATGTCAGAATCACTCCTCCTTTTATCTGAAATGACAAGAGTACCAACAAAGATGTTCAACAACTGATCCATGGAGGCAAAACTGTTTCACATACCCACTATATTTCGCTACTGCAACACATTCTAAGAAGCTAGTTACTTCCAAAAGGGGACCTGCAAATCTGCCATCAGCATAATTGAAATTTGAGCAGACAGACAACCTGGAATATTTGGCTTGTTTGTCACATAAAAGCATTATCTTATGTTCTTGTCCTTACTCTTACTGCACTAAGAATTATATTCTATGCAGCAGACAGAACTTAATGAATCAGCAGTGCTCTGCCTGGCGCTCTGGCTGGTGTGACAGTGCTAGGAGAGCAGCCAGGTCCCTTCTTTGCCCGATTCCCATGCACTCCAGGTAAAGGATGCAGATGTGTTGCACTGAACCTACTGGCCTGTGAGCTACACTTTGCCCACCTGACCAGTAACTGGGCAGGAAGAATCTGCCTCCTTTCTTGACAGGTGTAACTACATTTCTTTGTGAGGCCAAGTAATTTCAATTTAGCAAGACAGAGCACATCATATTTCTTTGGCTAGATGTTACCTTTTGGCTATGGATAGATGCCCGGGTTGATTTTATTATCTTTCATGCAGCTTTTAAAATAGTGAAGAAAGGGGGGCTGTGAACTTCTCTGCAGTATCTGGTGTGAAAAAAGATAAGCAGCTCATTGCTCCCTTCAAGCTGGATGCAGTAGACTGTGATAAAAATGTCTCATTTCTCATAAAGGTTTCTCTATACCGAGTTCTGCAGGGGAACTCACAGTTTTCCTCACTCATCACAGATATAAGGCCTGCGGGAAGCTTCTGAAAGGGCTTGGGATGCCTTGGGATCCTTTCATTTCAGCTTGTCAACTGCTGCAATAGCTCCCTAAATGTCCCAAAATTTTGAACTTTGATTTGCTTTCTTGATGCCTCACTGAAAAAGGATTAGGAAAGTTCAGCTCACATGAAGTGAAACCTAAAGTATAACAAAAAAATTCACAGTGAGAAATTAATGAGGTTATAATTGCCAATCCTGTATATGGGTTTCTCCATTTCTTGACACAAAGGTTCACTGACATTCACCTTTCCTGATACCTGAGAATGAAGCACATCTTGTCGAAATTACTTCAAAAATATATTCAACATGTGAAATCAGTGTATTATGTTTTCTCACTATTTTACATTAGTACTGATAATCTCAAAGTATATCAAGCCCCCTCTACACATCTTAATTTTGTATGACTGAGAAAGGGATGAGTTAAAATCAGAAAGCTTAGAACACCAGATCAGAACTGAGTATAACTTTTTCTTTTAAGGGAATGATTCAATAACATTTAAGAAAATTGCATTTTTCCCCCAAGTGGGACACTAAAAAAGAAAGAAAAACAAAAAGCCAGTCATGTGCTAAGAATTGGTGTGACAAGTTTAATCCTATAATTATCACTTGTTTAACGTCTGCATTGCAAATCGAGGTTACTAGGCTTGAAGAAAGTATACTGAGAGAAAGCTAGAGCAATAAGGAGAAAATATGAGTTTTGTTTAATTCTGAATGTTGTGAGTTTACTACATTTTTAGCTCCCATAATATAAATTGCATTGCCTAACATCTGCTCGCCTGTCAAAATGCAATTATTCCATGCAGCAGGACACAACCTTTGGCAGGATTCTGATTAGCTGGGGAGAGCTGTTCACTTGGATCAAGTGAAGTGAACAGAGTGCTGGCATGAGAAATCAAAGGGAATCATTATTGATATGTGGAAAAGGAGCTACTTTAATACTGGTTATTTATTACTAGAGGCTTTATCATGGCATCTGCCTAATAAAACTTCATTAATAGAAGTTCGACTCTGGAGAATTCCAACCTGTTGCATGGTTTCAACACGGGTTGAATAAATTAGAAAACAAAACTGAGCTCTATTGACCACCTCAAATGAAGTTTTCACAGTGGAGGACCTGCTACTCCTCACACTGCTCAGATTCAGTGTGACAGGGAGAGATATCATGAGTCACCTTAGTTCTCACGGCAGCCCCTCTTAAGCAAGACAGGAATACAGAGTGGCCATCCATGCAGAGGAACACAGACACGCACTTCACTTGCCCTCGGCATGGCTGGGTGGCAAGGTCACTCATCATGCCAAGAGTCATCATGTTCATTCTAAACTTCTTCTGAAACCTCAATGCGAGCAAACAGGGCCCTGGCAGCTATCAGGCTACACTGGAAAATGTTACCTGATAAAGGTTGTTCGGTTGTTAGGAAATGCTGTTTTGACACTAGACAAGGTAACTAGTATTGCTCGCTTTAGTTCAAGTCAATACACTGACATTTGACAATGGACACCATATTGTGTGACACTATTTTTCTATAATAAATACAAACAGCCTACTGCTCTCAGAAGACTCCTCACCTGCTCTGATGCACCACCCTGGCCTAGGTCCACCTCAGGGGCTTGGGTTCCTTGCTCCATTTCCAAATGAACCTTCTACATCAACCACTCTTATTTTGCCCCCTCCCTCTCTGCCACATCAAACTCAGTTAACCAAAGAAGTACCTAAGCAGTTCTCTAGGTTCTCCAGTGTGAGGTATTGTGTTCACACTACAGAATTAAAATGAGATGTAAATCTAGAACTCTCAGAACTGTAATGAGAAGCTGCAAAATTTCATCTCTTTTGAAGCAGACTAATGCAAAATTGTTACTATAGGATAGAACTTGGGTGTCTAATCAACATAATATCATGCTGAAAAAAGAATATCATCGAGATCATGCAGAACATATACAAGTCATGAAAAACAGCTGCAGAATATACACTGAAAGTTATTTATATATGGCTAGAATACAAATTCATTTCTGGCCCTGGGAAGAAAAAGGGAACAGACTCCTCATACTCACCATGCACAATTCTGTTTTGCTTCTAGTTTGGTACAACTTAATGAATATTAGTTGAATTTGTTCAATTCACTCAGAAATATTTTATTTTAACATGATAAAATCAGACAAAATGAAAAATACCATTTTCTGTTTGCTTACCTGGAATACCTTGGTGAGAGAGTTTCCTATTGAACCGGGTGACTTTTTGGTATATGTTTTGCTTTTTTGGTTTTGTCTTTTTTGTTTTTGGCAAACAAGTAGTCTTCAGTGTTTTTACAGCAGTGGCTATTACAGAAACTATGTCTCTTGCAGTTCTTATCTTGGAGGGTGGACAAAATAAACAAACTGAAAATAATACTACAATGAATAGTAAATGATGAATGGCTTACAGTACAAAAAACAGTGTAAAAAGGAAGACAAGCTTAAATATTGTTGTGTATGAAAGGGATGAAAATAATACAAGGATGAGAATAAGTAAAATGATAGGCTGGAACATCTGGGAAAGTAAATACAAAGACAAAGAGAACAGTCAATTAATGGAACAGCAAGTCCAAAGTTTCAACAAAATAAACAGTGAATTAGACTATGCTTGTGGAGAGACCAGCCCACCTCCCATTGGCTTAAGTAGGAGTTCTGCATGGTCTAGCCCTTAAAAGACAAATGTCACTATTTCTATTACTCTTTTAAAGAAAATACTAATTATTTTACTCTAAATTTGTATAAGACCATGCAGTGCTCTACCTTTAAGTTAATGGGAGCTCTACAAGCTCGGAGCTATTGCTAGATCAGAAAGTGAGCATGCTAAATGCCTTTTCTGTTTGATTTCATGCAGTACATGTATAGTAATTGATTAGCTTTAAACTCACTGCGTCTGTGACTTTCTGATACAAGGAAACAAAAGACTAATTAGTCAGCATAAGAATAAGAAATAATAGCTTTCAGCTTCACTTAGCAAGTATTCTGACTGCAAACTAGCAGGACAGCACAAACTCAATTAACACAGTAAGAGAGTTACTAAAACATTGAGATAATGTTATGAGCAACAACAGTATTTGTCAATTATAGAATTACATGGTAATTTTCATTTCACATTGCAAAAGAAAATAGACAAGAGTGAGAAAGGATTTTACTCCCTAAATCCAATCTGGAACAACTGCACGACATGCAGGATGTTTGCTGGCCCTTTTCTTCAGGGACAAGAGGTAAAAAAGAACTGCAGAAAAGACACAAGTCACTGCTACCCGACAGCAGCAACCCACTACCCATCAACCAATGATGCAGTCGGTTTCAGCAGTTCTTTTATTCACACACTGCAGTTCAGTTCTTTGACTCTAAGAAACAGATTTTTACAGTTTACTTTTCCCCATGGTTTGTGGTATCTTTATCATTTTGGAAACTGAATGTTTCCTCCTCTTTTGAATTATTGGGTCTTCCTTTTCATTCATTTAACAGAAAATCCACTACAAATAAAACATGCATGTTCATTTTCATTTCTGTTGTGAAAATACGAAAATAACACCAATAGCAGTTTCACAGCATTGCCTCATGGCAAAACTTGTCTGCTCTGCCTTTGATCGTGATTATGGCACAATTCTGGCAAATGCAATTGCAAAACCAGAAGGAATATTCTGTCCCTTACAACACTCGTTATTCTTTTAATTTCAAGGAGACCATACTTAGTCATTGGTCGCAACGGAAAACTGAGGGGAAGAGGTTTTGTATAATCAGCTGGCTATTTTAAATAATTCAGAACATGGAGATTTCTGTCCATTGTGTAAGATAACAACTTTAATGTGCCATACATCAAATTTTAAGCTTAATTCATTTGGCAGAGCCTTTTTACCTGTAGGCCGTAATAAGTAAAAGTCTACCTGACTCACTGACAAAGGTTCATCTGCACTTCGGTCATCGGATGACTTTGGAACTTCAAGTCTGTCGATGAAAGTCTGGAGCTCCTTCCTGAACGCCTTCATCTGCGCATTGATCCGGTACAGAAGCTCATGCTCACGTATTCTGCTGCCATCGTCCTCTTCATCCATCAGTCCAAACAGATCCCCATTGGCTACAAATATTCTTGCCTCCGTTATGATGGTACTTGTGTCAGAAATCAGGCGATCTATTGTCTTGCCTAGTCGCTCCGCTTCGGAGCGGATGTCCTTCATCTGCTGCCTGTCGGTGAAGCTCTTCTGCCACCCACTTGGTGAAGGATAAAAAGACCTCGTGGGTGTCAGGCATCGGATATTTCGTACCTCTTCAGAGTCACTTTCCCCACCAATGGGGCCTTCCCTTTTGCGGTGAGGGGGGCGGGAATCATCATCGCTTTCTTTTTTTCCTGCATCGCTCTCAGCATCACTGTCTCTAGGACTGCCACGGATCCCAAGATGAGAGGCCAAATCATAGCGCTGCATGTTGGACATTAATACTCTGTTCTCGTACTGCAATTGCATGACTTTGCCACTCAGCTCGTTGATTTGCATTCGTGCAGCTTTTAGCTCCTCCTGTAGTGCTTCTGTCTTGGCATTATCATGGTGCCTAGAGCTCTCATGGGCCCCAGATTTGTACTTATATTTGTTCAACTCAGCTGTTATGCGCTTGTTTTGTTCTTCCACATCAGCTAAATTTCTCCTCAGCAATTCTGTCTCATCTTCTACTAACTGCAAATGCTGTCGCAGTTCTGACAGGGATTCACTCTGTTCTCCCAGGAGTGGATTAGCAGTCCCTGAGAAATCATCTCCTCTTAAATCATCAAGCTCTGCCTTTAGTCCTCGGTTCTCTACTTCTAGTTCCACTATTTTCCTCCCAAGAATGTTCGCTTCCTCCTCCACAAGTCTCAATCGAAGCTTGAGTTCAGCTTCTCTTGTAGTAGGTGGCCCACCTGCTTCACCTTTTGGCAAGGGACTGTCCAAATCGCCATAAAATGATCTATATTTCTGCAGCTCGTGCTCAAATCTGTCTTTCTCCTTATCAATCTTAGCCATTTTCTTCCTCATCAAGGCCGCTTCCTCTTTGACAAATTGCAACTGGCATTTCAGGTCTTCATTATCCTCCTTAGCAGAAAGAAAGAGAACTACTTGAAGAAACATGATGTAAAACAGGAGACCTCCAGTGGATGATCTCAAATTACAAGATTAATAATCAAAAGTACTCAGCCTTAGCTACTAAGAGATTCCATTACAATCTTTTTTTTTTTTCATTGATCAGCAAATTAAAGAAAGACAAATACATATTTTCTTTTTAAAAAGAGGTAGAAAGACTATAGTACTTGCAATGAAAGTCTGGACAGTCCCCAGAAAATAACTTATTGAGGCCCCTTACAAAAACAAAATATATATTTTCTTGACTTGCTCTACACAACAGTAAAAACAGTGCAACTTTTTAAAATTATATATTCCAATGTCAGGTAACTAAATTCTGTCTCACATTATAAAGTGTTTAAAAATCCGGAAACGAGGATGCAAATATTGATTCATCGGTGCTCCCATTTATTTATTTTGCCTAAAGAATACAGTACATGAAAGTTGGTGGGCTCTGTTGCAGCGCCAGCAGTTTATTTAGATGGTCCTTGACACAGACTGCACTACTTGGGTCAGAGTTCTCCATTTCACAGCATGCACAACAACAAAAAGCAAAGTAAACAAGCAAGGGACATCCGAATCTACATATCACATACACTTCCACAGTATCCCTCAAGCCTCAACATGAGCATCCAAGGTGCTGTTTGTTTAGCATACCTCTGTTGGTGTCTGCTGGGACTTTTTTTCTGATTTTTGCAAGTCTTTGCTCCCTCTTCTTTTCAGTGATTGCTGCAAAAACAACATCATTAGACATGCTGAATATCTCTCTAAAGACATATAAAATTCAGTCATAATTTTTTAAAACATAGTGAGCCAGGAGTAACTACAAAGGAAATTATTTATTGTAATCCTGGAGATATCAAATATAGAGGCTCGAGAAAAAAAGATGACCAAAAATGAGAGAGCAGGGAAGTCACACTAGTAAAGTATTGGTTTAATCAGGCTGTTTCATCTCTTTATTCAACACATTTAAGACTAGCACATGATGAATGCTTAACACATAGGTCAGGAAGGTAGAAAGAAAGTATTTCAAGTTGTAACTAACACATGGGAAAACTGAGAAAGGCAGTGACACCCAGCATCATTCTTGCCCATTGGATTGCATTTTACTCCCAATGGGGACAAGACATTTAAAGACAAATCTACGCATACAAGTGGCCTCAGTCCATGTACCAGGGAAGCTATAAGAAGCAGTGTCACTACAACAGCACAGACTTCTCTCACCAAGTTCCTGCCTGCCCACTTGAGAGGACATCTACAAGTACATACTTCTCTGTGTCCCGACTACAGACAGCTTGCAGTGTGTTTTGGTCACACCTCTACCTGATTTATGTAGCAGATAAATTCTGTATAGCCAAGATCACTTACAGAAGGTGTCACTAGGCTTGTTCTGTTTCCAGAACATATTCAAACAGCTACACTTCAGAGCTAGAGTGGATAGAAAAGCCAGATGTGTTGTAAACATGATGCTTTCCTGATGCTTTAGCCTTCTTTCCTGTTCTTTTGTTGTCTGCAAACAAACCTGAACATATTAGTTATTCAGCAAGGTTGCCTGAATCTTTTAGGTAATTAATCCTTACTCGTGAACTGTCTACAGACAAACCGTGTGCTCTTCTAAGAGCACGACAAATCTATAAACTCACACAATATTATTTTGACTATTCCATTAAAATGCTAAAAGGTATTAAACAGAGAACGGCAAAAGATGATTGCATGAGTAATGGAAATCAAGTCAGCTTCTGGCTTCTGCTCTGCACTTATGTCCCTTCTGCATTTTTAAGATCTTTGGATGGCAAAGAGGGATCAAGAATCTCCCATGTCTTTCTGAGTCACTCCTTATTTTGCATACAGAACTATCAGGAGAAAAAAATCAGGAAAAAAGGAGGAAGATTCTTACAATCCTTACATATAAGAGGGTAATCGCTGAGTCAAAGTGTAAAAAAAAGGCATAGTCTAAGACCAAGGTAAAAGAAACATCACTAAAAACAAGCTTTTTCACCTCCCTGCCTTGTGCTAAGAGCATATGAACCTCGTCGCAGGTTTCCATCAGGTTACTGACCATAACAGCGAATGCTCCTCCTTGAGAATACGTTAATGAGAGTATTCACATGCTGTTGATTCAATACTAAAGTTATTTCTGAAATGTTGAGGAGAAAAATCTATGTGTGAATATTTCTTGAACTTCAGTCAAATAGATATTTGAGAAGAATTCTAAATGACACTACTTTTGCAATATTTAAACAGCTCTAAACAGCTCCAGGTAAAACCACTGCAAATAAAGTTCTTTATAATACTCCTTCCTTTATAATACTCCTTCAGCATGAGATCTGTAGAGCACAAAATTGATCTCTTTGGTGCTGAAATATGCATTACTGAGATGAAGGAATTAAAGTATTTCTGAAAAAGTGCCATTGCCCATCACAGTGGCCAATATACTTAAGAGATTAACAAATTTATTTTGCCATCTAGAGGGTCTTTAGGACATGCACTCTGTGCAAAGCATAATTCTGCATGGTTAGGCAGAAATACCTGAAGTAGCAGAAATGAGCCAGCTCACAGATTGCAACAGCTCTGACTCTGTGTCACCTGCTTGGACAAAACAGCCCTAGTAACAAACAAAACAAAACAAAACAAAAGAAAACAAAAAAACTTTAGAAGCACCAACACATGATCAAGCTCCTTTGGTTTATTCTGCTCTGATTCTGTGCCACTGAGGTAGGCAGTGATACCTACCACCACCACCACCTTCCTCTGAGATTATTCACTAGCAGAAGGAGCCTTTATGCCACAGTGAACTGAGAACCGCACACTTCCTTGCGCCAGCCAGAGGAGAATCCAGACGTTCTATAAAAGTGAAACCACTTCTGCTTAGTAGGAATTAAAATCTATTCATAATCCCCAGGAAACAGACCAAACCTGCAAGTATGTTGTATATAACCATCCTGTGCATCACCTGCCCACTGACTCCAACTGTCCTCTCTCTTCTGCAGACCATCTTCATAGCAAATACTGAGCTCTGCGCACTGTTCCTTCCAAAAGGAAAGTCAGTACCACAGAAATGGCACATACAAACATTAGCAATAACACAGGAGATGGTTTCACAAGAGGCCTTTGGCTCAAAATCACTATAAAAACATGCCTGAATTAAGAATAAAAACAACCTTAGATTCAGCATCAGAATTAATGGATCCATCAAGAATCACAATTGCTTTTTTTTTGTCTCTTGCAGATACTCTGAGTACACTCAGCAGGTACAATTGTAAAATCAATTAAAGATCAGTAACACCTTAGCTGGATACCCATGACTCACAGGATTCTAGAAGAAACCAGAACAGATATAGAAAATAGTTATAATAATTCTTTTTTTTTCCTTTTAAAATAAAGTAAATGATTTAAGGATCAGTCTATAAGCAAAATAATTCTTCTCCAAGGTCAACATCCATTGCCTTGTTGAAAAACTGGTATGGGCATATGGAAGGACTTTTTTTAAACAATGAGGAATACAATTAATTCTGAAAGTAGATGTCAGAATTGGCAAATTTATAAAGAGTTAGGATTTCAGAGGTGCGGCTTCCTCCTATGTATTACCACTAGAAAACTTCATTTTCAAATCAGTTAGCACTACAAACTTTTCTTTACACCAGACTCTTGCCAACACCACCCACTGGTAAAACAACTAGGGGATAGTGAAATATATTTCTGCTTTATTAACTAAATTCCTCCTATTCATCTTGCAGGGCTTAGCATCTTTTCAGATGCAATGAGGTTCTGAAATGCAGCTTATTTTCAGGTGATAACAACTACATGAGAAGGTATCCTATGACCATAAAAAGAGGTGGGAGAACAGAGAAATCTCTTTTTTTAATAACAAAAGTTCTTTTTCATAGTCAGGACAGTAACATTTTAATTGTAGCAATACTTGTGTCTATCTGGTGATGACACACTTTTTATTCTGCTTTACTTGAATTAAAACAAGCCATTCACAGAACCCATATTATTCTCCAGTGAAATGATGGTGTTTAGCAACATAATTTTATAGCAGAAAGCAATGAAAAATATACACAATTCAATTGGCAGGATAGTTTGGGTAAGCAGATTAGACCCAGCTAGAAGTGGCATATAATCTCTTTTCTTGTGAAAAACACCATGAGACAATTTATAATCATTAGAGGTCAAGATCTCATTTGCACATCTCATCTGATAAATGACATGTTCAAAATTGCCATGCCATAACATGATGTTAGGGCACTGAAGCAATACTCATACTGAAAGAAGAATGCCACTTATCAAGCACTATATCCCATAACCTCTCAATAATAGATTTCTGAGGCTTTTTTTTTCCAGAGGGGTATTTAGCAATTTACAGCAGCTATTGCTTTTATCTGTTCATCTCAAGCCCTGTCCATTCTTTAAAAAAGCCAGTGATCCAATTTTCAACATATTAAACAAGTTAGTGTTGCTAATGAGAAGAAATGCATCAAGGCAAAATAAAAAATTAAATTAAATTCAAATAAATACAGGACAAAACCAAAAACAGCAATCCAACTTGCATGTTAATCTTCAGATTATTCCTGCCACTGAGTACTATTAAAACTGTCTCCATCTTGCTTGTTTTGCCATATTAACAGTTGAGAAGACAAATAATTGACTCTGCCACTACCATTTACAGAATATATTTGCTCAAAAGGTTTTACATTTCGACACCTTCAACACAATTCTCCGTATGGTATGACATACTGAAGTGCCACTAAAAGCTCCCCCTGCTGTTTCTCAATGATAGTAGAAACAAATCTGCCTCTCACGTTTTAGAAGTAGTTTTGAGAGCCATTTGTTATGTCATTAATTTTGCAGCCATGGTAATTTTTCCTTCATAGCTCTTAAATTATATTCAATTTAGTGTAATTATGATAAAAAAGAGAAAAGTAAAACTGATAAACATAAGATTTTTGCTCTGTCTGATTTGTAATGCTTATCAGACAGTTTTACAGTTTTAATAACCTTGAACCAAGTTATGCATCTGCAGGAGAGAAGTAAAAAATGCATATAAGCCTTTCTACAAATGGGGAGTTCGAGAACTGTTCAAGTAATAATGAAATATTCCAACAGTGCTAGGGATAGTAAGACTGGTGCATGTACCATTTTATTGTATACTTTATGCTTACCTCTGGGAGGCAAGGAGGTAAAACTGGGTCTGGCCTGACTATTCTAGCACTCACAGAGGGCAGCACACATGGGGCAGAACAGTACTGTTCTAGCAACACTGAGCAATTCTCATTGTCCAGATCAGACCACAGACGACACCTGCGTGAGAGGCACTCCAGACCATACTGCCCAAAACAGGCAATTCCACTGCGCTGCTCATCCGATGTCTTGCTGGGGATGCTAAGCCCTTTTCAACACCTGATGGTATGAAATCCTTCTACTGTGAGCCTTAAACTGCAAGTCGATGTGCAGTCCTAACAACACCTGTGATGCTGAGCTTCTCAGAGCATAAAATGATCTGAACTCTACTGTATCATAATTCAGTGCAGAAGTCATGGTAACCTGCTCTGCTGAGTTGCAAAGCTGTAAAATGAACTCAAGTTCTTGCTACCTGATCCTAAACTAATTGATTTTTCCCTTCAGTTAAAAAAAAAGAAACCCTAAACAAAACATACCAAATTTTCAAGAGATTTTGGTTACATTATTTTATATTTCAAACTCGATTCTAGCGTCAATGATGTAAAAAT